TAAAAAGAAAAAGTACAAGAAAAAAGTAAAGAAAAATGATCGTAAAGAAATGTGATATCGTATTAAACTTAAATTTTGGTCTTTCATGATAGCTTCTAAGATGATCCTTGGCTTATATTCTCCTCGTTGAATAATAGAATTATATTCGCGAAGGAAATTGCGCTAATGGCAACGGAACGGGATAATTTTGGAAAGCACGAGTATCCCTTCTGTCTTTTAAATAATCTTCTAAGATATTTTTCTAGACTTTTACAGAGGATATAATTTTGACCAGGGTAGGTACGGTAGCGCGTACCATAATTAGCGGCTAACTACAAAGCGATCTTTTCATGCCGCGAAAATATATTATCTACCACTATCCTCTTCTAACGTATCCACGAAATGCAGCACAATTTTCCTTCTACAACAAAGTTCTTAATTAGCGCGTTCCACGCGAAAACAACGTGTATCTACTATCTACTAACGTTCATCGAGTACATCAACCAACTATATACTAAACGCATACTTATATAAATACGTATACGTATATATAGGTACAAACGACACGCAAAACGATACCTTCATACACCTTTATCAAATTAGTTCGCTAGCAGAGAGAATCGATTCGTGCATCGTTATAACCTTCATAAACGACCACGACTTTGACTTGTCGTTGACGCGAAACGCAATTCCTGATCATTTTCATAATGTTCTTTTTTTCTTTTTACTTTTTTACTTTACTTTGTACAATTTAACACGTAGGTGTACAGTTTTATCAATCGGACACGGATCTCGTTGATTCAACGAGAATTTGGATTATTTTAATAATGCTATAACCGCACGACCCAATTTATATTCCGCTATTCCATCCAGATTATTACCAATAAATATGGGATTGTTTTTATCATTCACAATATCATTACAAGAACAACGAATATCGGATTTTATGCGATGGTCTATCGTTAAATATTTTCTACAAGGGAAGAGAGCAAATAAGAAATATAATCAATATTTCAATCGTGTATGTGTTTATGATAAAGTATGATACTATTTAACAGTAGTAGTCATTTTTTATTGTTTATAAAAAATACGACAAATGACAGTCATTGGAATTAAGAAAAATAATAATAAATAAAAGATAACAAAAAAACAATTTAAAATTATTCATTTATTAAATGCAGCAATTTTTTGTTTTAATAAAATTAATATACTCCTTTATAAAGTAATTGTATATCTGTTATTCTTCGAAATAGTTTCCATCATTTTCGATGACTTTGGTCAATCTTTCGAACGACTATCTAATTCCTTGACAACAACAAAAAAAGATGATGATTTTGATGAAACGAATTGCTCGAAAAAAAATAAACGAACGTCTTACGAAGATAAATTTGTCATAAGATATATCAATCGTAAAATAAAAATGTTAAAAAAAGCGAGAAAAAGAGAGAGAGAGAGAGAGAAAAAAAGGGATAAGTAATAACTACCCACCAAATAAAAACTTTATTTTCCTTCTTTACATTCATAAAAGCGGATTGTCACTTGACTTGTACAAATAGGATGGAAGATGAATGCAAATGTTTTATACGAACGTTCGTTCTGTAAGGAACGTGTACCTCGAGAGTGGAATACAAGAGAGTTCCGATGTAGCTTTATCGAATAAGAAAAGTAAAAAAAAAAAGGAATAGAGAAGAAAAAGGATCGATAGTTCATGAAACTATTGTACAATAGAAGAGAAACGTAACTCTCGTCAAACGGACCAATATAAAGAGGATTATCATTCTAACAAGTTCTATTATTAGACGTGCTCTTACATTGTAATATATGATGTACGAGGAGGAGTTAAAGCTATGAACAGAGAAAGAGGATAAGTTTTGAAAGACAACAGGTAAAGAAACGATAACGTCGACGATCGGTACCGATCACAATTGTTGCAAACGTATCGTCTGCTTCATCGTTGAGAGAAACTGAAAATGAAATATACAGTCTGCTGGAGATGCTTTTAATGGATTCCATTATTTCTCGGTTTATAGAGACTAGGTCGCATCTGTGAATTTCTTGTTCTAAAATGGACTACCTACGATCTATCTTTGAAGAATCCCTGAGACTCGTCCAGAAGCGACAACTTCGTATCCTCGAATTCACAAGTAACAACCTTTCAACGAACGCTACAAGAGCCTAACATTCGACGATGTTCCTTTTACAAATCGATAATATCTTTTCCTTCCAGTTGCTCATTCATTTCATTACAATCGTATTATTATTTTATTCCATTGGTTTTAATTCAGGAAGTATTATTTTTTTTAATTAATTATTATATGATCCCTCGTAATATCGTTCATACTAATGTATTCAAATTTCATTAACAAAGAAACGCATAATCTTGAAAGGTTCCTTAAAATCACTATATCGTAACTTGATTAACACGAATGACCAGAGTCCCCCATTTACTAATCCATTGAAGCAGAACCTACAGAGAGAGAGAGAGAGAGAGAGAGAGAGAGAGAGAGAGAGAGAGAGAGAGAGAGAGAGAGAGCGGGATAACGAAGCTCTCGACGAAACATTGCAGATGGCTTTGCTCGTCTCCGTGGAATTGTTAATTAACGCGAACCACGCCCGTAATCGAGCGCGTTAAAGTGTTATTACGGAACAATAACGGGCCCTCTTATACTTTTACTGACATTCCCATATAATTTCCTAATCCATGAAAGATGTGTCAAAGGGCACGTTTCTTATCAATTATCAACTCATCTTAATTAACTAACTTGCATATAGATTGAGAGAATGATTTAATCGATCTTTAACTTAAAAAACTTAAATATAATATTCTATTACGTAACATTTTGCGTATCTTTCTATTAAAAGGAAAAAATAAAGTAAAATAAAGTAAAATAAAATAAAATAAAATAAAATAAAATGTAAGCAACAAAAGTTAAACGCTCGTACTTTTTCTGAGTAAAATAAAGAAATAAAAAAAAAAGAGAGGAAACTAGAAACAGCGAGAGTAAAAGAAATAGAAAGAAGAAAAAAGTAAAGGGAAACCACGCGAAGAGAGAGAAAGAAAGAGAGAGAGAGAAAGAGAGAGTGAGAGAGAAAGAAAGAGAAAACGGTTTACGATATTAAATTCTAGAAATACCGTCGCGACCGAAATCCTTCGGCAGCTAATTAAAAATAATTTAGCGATCCAATCGTGAAATTATTAGAGCGAGGCGTTTTACAAAATTAAAAGAGCAATCGAAACCATTCGTTCTTTGTAGAAGGATACGACCTTCTTTAAGTGTTTAGCATATTCCGTGATGCATTAGGACGCTTTCTAGAGTTATTCCCATCGAAAGAGGGGAGGATCCTTCAATTCTCTCAATTCGCTTATCTCAGAAAAAGATTCTCTCTCTCTTTTTCTTTTTTACGATACCTGAAAAATCTTTCAAAAGGAGATCCACTTACAAGTAGAAATATGTACATATATACATATATATTCCGAATCATAGCTCTTCTCAAGCTTTCCAGAAAGTTAAAGAATTTTCAAAGTTACAACACAATGTGAAATATCTTCGTATTCTTTTTTTTTTCTTTTTTTTTTTGTTTAAATATAATATCGTTACTTACGATTAGAGAGAAAAGAATAGAAATATATATGTGCAGATAGTACACACGTTTAAAGTATAACTCTTCTAATTTCACACACACACACACACAGTTTCTCTTTGTGGTAATATACTATATTTATTTTTTTATATTTTTTATATTAACTATTTGTATTTTAAAGTTTTATTAACACACCTAACTAATACTAGAATCTTCCATACTTTGTTCAACTGTCAATCAACTGATCTCACATACACACAATTACCTAACTCTGGAACCTTCAATATTCTTCACTCATGTCAAATACACAACACACAACACAAGCACAAAATAACAAGCTCCTGAACCTTGTATATCCTCTCCCACACTCGCTTTTATATATATATTTTTCTTTACTTATTTTATTTACTCATCTATTCATTTACTCACTATTCATTGCTCATTGATCATTGCTAATTGCTAGAAGAACATATTCTGTTCCATAAAATAACTATTATAGTTTAAGTGTATAATAAATTTCTTTTATAGTGTAACTTCATTACTTACAAGGACAGTAACATTTACGAGATGCTCAGATTTTTTTCAAACTTTGCACACCTGTACTAGTCCATGAGAATATACATTATACATTTTAAAAAATCCAGATCTCCGGCCGAGCGCTCTGCAGAAAAAGTTTAAAGCCTATCATGCCAAGGGATGAAAATTGTTGTCGTGATATTTGACAGGTTTCGTAAAGGTTTTTTCATACTTACATGGAACAAATAGAAGTAATACTTATATATATATAATAGAAGTATACTGTGTCTAATATCTAGAAGAGGGTTAACAAGTTCTGAGTGCGTCTTGCATGTGAAGGCATTGGACGAAATAGAATGACCGGTCATTTCGTACATTGACCGGGAACCCCCCGCCGGGAATTCAAGGACACGAGACCGCACCGCTACCCATTACGGTATCGAAGAAAAAGAAATAAGTGAATAAATAAGAAATTTTGCGAAATTTCTACCCTCGCTTTTTTTCGCAAACGGTTGGAGATCTGGATTTTTTAAAAAAGTACGATGTATGTGCAAAATTTGAAAAAAAATTGAAATCTCTCGTAAATGATCTTACTCTTATTAGTTACAACAGGACGCTTCGAGATGAATGCAAGCAACATTTTCCTCTTCGAAAACGCAAACGAAAAATCGTAACAATTTCGACACCGATTAAGCAGACTGTGAATATTTAATCGCAGATTATTGTACCATACTTGTTACTAATGTTAATAAAAAATAGTTAAAATAAAATATAGACAAAATAAATATAATCTATTAGCATAAAAAGAAACTATACATACTAGAAAAATCAAGTACGAAAATTACACGTCAAAAGTGTGCATTAACTGCACATAGATCATTTCGTTAATAATTTTGGTTATAATTCTTTGTCTTTTTTCACAGCTGGAGGCGTGTCGCCGACTTCTTTGTTGCGTGGAGAGGGCGTGCGGAAGCGGAAATACGATCGACGAGAACGAACATAAGATCAATCTTGGTCGACGTGGTGCACAAGCGGGCCCCGAACTGGAGGGGCCCTCTGGTGCCGAAGATGGCATCCTTCCCATCACCGTTAGCCCCAGTCCCGCTTCTACATCCTCGCAGGAGGATGCTTGCAAACCACCACCACGCAATTGCTATCGTCTCGTCATGCTCGGCAGCGCTAGGGTCGGCAAGACCGCCATTGTAGCACGGTATACATTCTCTTCAAAGAATTTTAGATTAACTAATTTTAGATCTAACTACGTATTTCCATTACTAACTTTTCTTATTTTTGTTTCCCCCTTTTTCTTTTTTTTCTTTTACATCAAAACATACAAAAGGGATTAACATTTTTATTCGAAACTCTGACGCGTTAACATTAATATACTCTTATATATACATATATATAAAAAGAAAAAAAAAAAAGGCTCATTACACACTCGAGAAGAATTGCATCTCCTACGGTGTCGTTTGCGGTAGCGAATGGTAGAAGGGATAATAAAAAAAAGAAAAAAAAAAAAAAAAAAACCCTTGGGCTTTACAACGAGCGTAATTAAAGCATTATGTTCTTCTCGTCGTTTCTCGGGTAAGGTAACGAGAGACACGACCGTCGCGATCTAACGACTTTTACTGAACTTCCTAACATCGCCAAGTACGATGTAGAAGTTTGAATCTCTGCCATTCGAGTTTCGTTTTGTTACCCCGTGTGAGTTAATGTTAAGAAGAGCATTACCTACCGGTTAACTGCCAATTTTTCTTCCTTATCTTTGAAATTTAAACGAGCATCGACTTCTCGCTAATTTATTTAACATATCGAGAATAAAAATCATTTCGTATTTGTTCCCCCATTTGTAATATTTTTATTAGTTACTATAAGTTTAATCACGTACACCATATATTACCTCCTGATTCTTTGGAATCAGTTATTTGAAATGAAACACGTTAAGCATTCAGTGAATATTAATAATACGAGGATGATATTATTTCATTAATCCATCGCATTTATCGATGCAAATTATAATATATCCGTTATATGCGTTATGTCGCATATTCCTTATTGCCGTATTATCGCGTTAATGCAACAACCAATTCATACGTTTTGCGCATACAAATCGTGTCCGGTATTATTATCGTTGCCGAAAGCCGTTAATATAAACGTGTCTTATCGACAAACAGAGGAGAGATAAATAGAAATAGATAATTAGAATTTGACTGTTTGCAAGAAATGTAATTTTTGTATTTTTTTATTGGATAAATAGATGAAATCGAACAGATTGTGATTATAAATGCATATATATATATATACGTATATACGTACAGTAGATAGGATAAAGTAGAAAGGATATTCTATATATATATATAAAATATATTTCAAACGAGTTTAGCCAATTTCGTATTTGGCAAGGTTGTTCATTTCCGCCTTTGCGACTATTCGTTACGTTAAATTGACAAACCGCGACCCTGTCAAGCCCTGCGAATTTCCCTAATTTCAAGGTAATTACGCGACTCATTTCGGCGAGAATCCTGATCGAGGGGAACGCGATGTTTCCAATCGTGGAAAATGGGAACGCGAGTTTATCGTTTTTTTTCTTTCTTTTTTTTTTTTTTTTTTTAATTCTTTTTTTTACTAACGAGTGATAAATGGAGATTGATGTATAACAATCTACTGTTGTATAATCAAATTTATGACAAAATTCTTTATAATTACGCAATTTTATTAATGATTATTATTAATGAAACCAATTTATCAAAATATAAGAACTTAAAAAGGGAAATATTTCATTTCGCAGATTTTTATCCAACAAGTTCGAAGAAAGTTATACACCCACGATCGAGGATTTTCACAGGAAGCTTTATAGAATCAGAGGCGAAGTGCATCAACTTGATCTCCTGGACACCAGCGGAAACCATCCCTTTCCTGCCATGCGACGATTATCCTTCCTAACCGGTAAGTCCGAGTCATAAGAGGAAATGTATCCTACGTTAAAACGTCACCTTTTGTTCTTCAGTTACGAATTCATTCATTCATTCATTCCTATCATTTTTTTTTAGATTTTTTTTTCTTTTTCTCGTTACATGTAACTAACAAAACGAAACGTAGGTATATTTCGTTAGAATTAAATTCAGGAACGTATTACCGCGAGACAATAGCTGACTAGACTTTGGGAGGTTATCTCAATGATCCGTTAGTGTAGCACCGTTATCCAAGGATAGAGAATTTCAAATTTTCATAGGAGAATTAACCGAGATTACCGATGAAAACAGAAATCACAAGTCATTGCGACTTACTATATCCACTACGTTTTCCATATTAATATGACCATTTTTGAATAAACGGAACGAAACGATCTAACATTTCCTTTAACAAACAAAACAAAACGAAATTTATATTTGTGTCCATTTCATTGCATCCGTGAATTATTAAAAACTATCTGTTATACGTAAATATTATACTACTAGGTACAGTGAGTCTCAATAAATTTGAAATAATTGATATTTGCTTGTAATACAAAGCTTTAAAATTTCTATATACAGAAACATATTTCATTCAAATTTATATATATTTAAAAATTGAATAATTCTCTGAAATATGTTTCTAAATAAAAGAATTTAAAAATATTATATTACAAGAATGTATTGATTATTTTAAATGGACAGTAGGGGTACAAATGATCGGAATGATACAGTCATTAAAGTAATTAAATTCGTTTTCCTATACTCTAAAAAAAAATATATATATATATACATAGAATTCTATTAAAAAAAAAAAAAAAATATGAATAAATTTGAAATTTCGTAGAAAAAGATCTTTCGATAATTAAATAAATGGGACAATTTTTTCCTTTGAAATTTTTTCATACAATAATAAACAATAGGAGATATTCAGGTATACCGTTTTTCGCGACTCTTCCTGTATAACGAGAATAGAAATTCCAAGGAAGCATTAACTATTACTATAACTAGCTTCACCACCATTCTTCATTGCTCGTTGACGTTTACATTCGCGGCTCGTCGCACATCTTCTCTAGCGAACTTGTTACAGGAAGCTTCGGTATCATATACGATCAAACTTATTAGCTTGTGAGCTTACTCGTTTAAACTGTGTTACGGAGTATTAATATTACCTTGCCGATATGTACACAGGTACATACATACATACATACGTATACATATTCTCTTAGATAGAATCTAACAGGAAGAACGATAATACTGAGTGGTTCGTCTAACAGGAAACATCAATGTATTTTGTAACACGCTTCAATGTAAGCTTCTCGATGGATGTGAGAGATTTCGTATTAAAAGATTATTATTTCCTCGCAGGAATATAATGAATATTTGATACCATTAAAAAAACTCTCGCAAAACAAAAAAAAAAAAAAAAAAAAAAAAAAAAAAAAAAAGATTATTAAAATAACAAAGAAGTAAAATTAATTATATTCACTTCATTTGCTTAATCACGTTTGCATGTTATCCACGCTGACGTGTAACTATTTGCGAGTTTTTATTCAAATGCGATGAAAAAAAAAAGAATCGGGAATAAAAAGAAATAGAAATAAAAAGAGAAGTTCCAGAGCGTATTCAGTCGTCCTAAATTTGATGGCGGGTGCCGTGCAGTCGCAATATTCTCGCGTGTACGTCGATTCTCGAAATATCTAAGAAGATTCTACAAAACTGTTCCAGAAACGGGTACCGTTATTCGAATGTTCCCTCGTAGTCCGTGTGTCGGATATGAGATCTGAACGGCAAGCACGTTGCGGTATGGTGGTTGAGATGGTAAAAGTATGGCTGATATTCTTCCTGTCTCTTATATGATTCTGTATGTACGTACACGCGAACTGTATAAGAAAACGAACGAAGGAGTAGTACGGAATCCAGATCTTGAAAATCCATAGAATCTATCGGAGGAAAAATGAATGAAACTCGATAAAGGATTCGCGAATCGGCATCGAAAAAGAATAAGGTAGAAATAGAATAGAATAGAAGAGAAGAGAAAATAAAAAAGAAGAAGAAGATTTCGATTTCTTGAAACGTCGAAAATCGTTGAAAAGATGCTGGTACTAAACTGAAATGGACGAACGAACAGGGCAAATATAAGCGCCGAAAGAAAAGTGTCCTTATCCGTTTTCCTATCTTCTTCCCCATCTTCTCAACATCTCCTTCACTATTTTTATCTATGATAGATCCTTAAGAATATACCACGTTAAGTGCCAACTTTCTTTCCCGTATTTCAAATCGTTCACCTTTTATCACTTATCGGTTTACCCCCAATATAAGATCTTTTCTTGAACGGGAGAGCGAACACAACAATGGAGAAAGAAACAAATTTCTATGTTAAATCGATCCTTTTACTCCCTCTAACGCTCTTACAATATCGCGATACTCGTTCGACAAATCGATTGTTCTATCCTTTTTACTCCGTTTTTAGCAACGGTATATCCCGATTCTAACGTCAGAACGTTTTGTTTAGAATATTGCAAATGTGTAATGTTATATTTCTGGATTTATAAAAATGAAAATCTACGAGTCCATCGAAAACGTATGAGTAACAATAACGTATTTAACGCATGGTATACATAATTCGATATAAAATATATGATTATAATTTATAAACGTTCAATGTTACGCTTCGAGCAGTTAATTCTCCAAACATATCTAGCTTATATCGTATTTCGATGAAATTATTTGTAAAGAAGATAAATATTTCATATATATAGATATATTTGCGATATACACATACATACATACATATATAAATATGTATAAATACCGAAATAAATCGTTTATTACAAATGATCGTCGTAAAATCGAGATACGGCAATCCTCGGTACGATTGCTCGATTAAAAAATATATTTCATTGCTTGTGTGTGTACGTACGTAGAAGTGTGCAGTTACGGCTGCACCCTTCCTTCATTTTCCTCCCTTCTTTTCTCTCTCTCTCTCTCTCCTTGTATCGTTAAATTGCATCGTATCATGCTCGATCCGCGTGGTCGAACGTGTAATGCCGAGTGCACGACCGCGTGCATGCGTATTGATCATTCCAACTCGAGCGGTGATAAATGGTAGGTATAGCAGAAACGATCACGCGTATGGTAGACCGGGTATGACAACCACGTGATATTCCACATGTCATTCCGATGAATTATCAAATTTGCATGCGTGATCGACCTAAAAGTCAAGGAAAACGTCGGACCCCCTCGAACCCCCTTGATCTACACCTCTTCGTTACGTTACGCGAATTTCATATCGTTGCCAACATGCGACTGGCTCGCATTTTTTCCCAACCTGAAATTAATCGGTTTACGAGAGGTCGAGGTCACCCGAGCTCAATCCTTCTAATGAGAAAACCGAAACGAATAGGAATGCAAGATTGATTGCATCAAGATCGATTCTATTTTCGATCTTGTGTATTCTGTATTTCATTTTTCCTTTTTCTTTTTTTGGTTTTCGTTCTTTATTATTTTCTTGTTTGTTATTTTTACTTTACAAAGGTTGTTATTCATTGTAACACTAGGCTAAGGGAGAGAGTCATTCTTAGTCGTTAGTAAAAGAACATCGATATTCCATGAGAGTAAACCGATACCCTAGAACGCGATAATGCAGAAAGCTGCTAGCTAGTAGCAGTAGTAGTAGTAGTAGTGGTGGTGGTTATGCTTGAAACCGATTCGACTGTGAAACTTGGTGATCGTAAAAGTCGAAGGGTGAGCTTTACGAAAGCGTGAACGACATTTCATGAGACGAGTTGGACCGAATACTAAAACGCGGACTAATACCGTAAATAAATACCGTAAGTAAGTAATAATACATATATATGTATACATATATATATATAATAATATAAATAAATAAATTAATATATATATATATAGGGGTAAAGATAAAGAATATAAAACGCACATATATCTGTGTGATTCGTAACATAAATAAAAATGTAGGACATTTATGCGGTATACGATTATGCAAGCACATATAAATCGCAAGAAATTTTCGAGACGTCGACAAGCTCGAAGAACGATCTGTGAACTTTCTGATATTCTCTCAGAAACGACGAAGAAACTCGATCATACACAACAGAACAAACTCGCGATCCTTTTTCTCGAGAATACAATGAATATACATACATACGTACATATGTATACCTTCTGGTATATAAATATAGGCGACAGCCGTCAGATGTGTCCGGGGCACGAAATGCGTTTGCACGCAAACTCTAGAACGGTGACCCCAATTCAAAGACAATGGACACTGTGTGCGAGTGAAGGGAATTCCTTTTTCGAATCAGAAGGCGCACTTCTCTCTCTTTCGTCGCGATATAATACCCGACGGATACATCATCGCTCGGAACAATGAAGGAGAGAAGCCAGGAAAAGGAAAAAGGGAAGACTACTAGGCTGCGAGCTTTCTCAGAAATAAAACATTCCAACGAGAGCGACGTTGTAACGGAGGGAACGGAAGTTCGAGGCGAGAAACAAGAAAAAAAAAAAAAAAAGAAGAAGAAAAATAAAAATGAAAGAAAGCAAAGGTAGAGAAACAAAACCAAAAAAAAAAGGGGAAAAAAATAATCGACGAGAAAGACGGAAACTAGACCGCTAGAGGATTTATTATTAAATTAAAAGGCGAGGAGAATAAGGAACGTCTTGGAAGCCTCCTTTGGTTTGACGTTAATCGAATCTCGTATAAAAATATATTCCCGTAGTTGCATTACATTCGAACGCGCATTTCTTATCGATGTTTTATTAAGATATGCGAACGTATGTAAATTTATGGTTACCGTGCCGAGCCGTTTGTAGCAAATTTTCGATGATAATCGTATCTTCCACGAAGCAAACTCGTTAACCGAGCGAGATTTACGTGTATATGTTAACCGCGAGTACTCGAATACATACACCGAAGCAAGGGTCTGACCATATTCCGATCATATTCTATCTACGTTGGTTCAGTAGAAACAGACGGTTTTAGTCAGACCTTTCTACGCGAGCTAACACGATATCGTTTCGTATTACGTTGTTGAATCTTTATGGACTTCTCACAACCTAAAAGCTCATCAAAGAACTTCTTCTGGTTTATAAATTATTTCAATTGACCAAAGAAACATTCTACGAAATACAATTTTAATATAAATTCGAAATAAGGTAGGAACGACGATTAACTTCGTTAATCGGAAGACCACCTTGAAGGGGTATTATATCGTATCCGCAAATCTCACCGTAAGGCTAATTCATTCTCGTTTTTCGATCGATCGATAATAAAAACGATGAAAAATATTCACACCAAGTTGAACATTTTATTATGACCTCGATTTCTATTTACGTCATGCCAGTTCGCTCGAGTTAATTACACTTTTGGTTTGGGACGCAACAGTTTTACAAACGAAAAGTTACCATTTCTCCCTACTATCAACGTTAATTTCGTTTACCATAGAAAAGTCTCGCATACGTGTTTTATATTGAAGTAAGATCATTAATCTCGTAAGCTTTCCGGGCTAATCCACATTCGCGTTTATTTTTAATCGAGGTGACGTAGCTGGTAAAATCAACGTAGGTTACATTGAATTACATCGGACAATAGTTGGACTTTCTAAAAAATACCTTTGAGAAAAGTGTAAAAAAAAAGTATAAACGCAAACCCTCATTATTTATCGATGCGTTTCTTTACTCTTTTATTCGTTTTTTTTTTTCTTTTGATTGTTGTATTTTTTTTCTGTTTCTTTGTCTTTTTTTATCGCTTTTAAGTCGAGTAGAAAGAGTACGTGAATAATTAGTCAAGCTACGCTATCTATGTAAATTGTAACTCGTCTTAAAACCAGTAAAGGCCAAGAACTAGGCGTTGCTGTTGTTGATAATGTTAACGATTGCCCTATACACGATTTCTTATCCCTCTTACCGATCGAACTTCTTTTACAGTTTATATGAGAGAGCATCGGGCAAGGGACATTTGCATAACAAATTTTAATCGTTGAGTCCCCGCGACTAACCAAAGTTGCTTAACGTAACATGTTAATTTTCGATAGAAGAAAAAACAAAAAGAGGAAAGAAAAAAAATTCACCCCGTTTGTTAGTGGATTAGAAAGTATCTTTTTTTTTTTCTTCTTCTTTTTTTATTCTTCGATGATTTGAAATCTTTCGTTGCTTTTGAATTCTTTCGGATATCACTGGAGCGTACCATCCCCCTCAACCCCTATCGAACGAATTTGAATATTAATCAGCCGAAGAAAGGAAAAATCAGGCCAATCGCGATACTTCAATCCCGGACCAGAACTTGTACGAACTCGCGTTTACTCTTAGAGAAAGTAATTCTTCAAAAGGGCTTTGAAAATTCATCACTCCGACTTGGGTGGCTTATTCCTCGAACGAATAACGTTTTCCAATCGTGATCGAGAATTTCGTAATTATCTAATTTCCTATCACGTCCTCGTTTCTAACTGAAACTTTTTGTTTCCTCAAAATTCGAATCGAGTTTATCGATTGATGGTAAACCGAACGACACGACAAATACGATGAATATTAATAATCAAGGAAAGTATTTTAATTATCCAATTTATTTACGTATTCGATAAATTTCCATTTACATTTTGATGACATTTTTTAAAAATTCTTTTTTTCGTTAAAACCGTCAAGTTGCAACAAAAACACGCGTGTTCTAAAAAAAAAAAGAAAAACACACATGTATACATATATATGCATACATGGATTGTTTGAATGCGAACCATAGTACCCGTATAGAACCTTTCAACAGTTGACATTTCGAACGCACGAAAAAATCGCGAACACGACCTTTCGCGTTCACGGAATAATCGATCGGATCTTCCTTCCTTCGTTTATTGTTATTGTGTTCTTGGCCTCGACCTATTGCAATACTTACCAATCGTTTTTTCAAAGAGGCCAACTAAGTTAATCCTGATTCGTGTATCATGCACGCGAATGTTCACTTACATATGTACATACACGTGCATGCAATGCATGAATTCTTGACCAATATAACATTCTGGAGAGTAGAGTTAAACTGTTTATATTTTAATTACCATTTTGCAGGAGATTTGTTTGTGGTGGTGTTTAGTATGGACTGCCGAGAATCTTTCGAAGAAGCAATCAGATTGCGAGAAGCGATCATCGAAACGAAGATGAGCGCTGCTCAAGGAGCAACCAAAAGTAGAAACAAGAGTCATTACAGCTTAAAGGTTCCTATGGTCATTGTTGGAAATAAATGCGATAAGGATACAAAGTACGTTATCTGTAATTAAAAAACTTTGCAATTTAACCCTCTATAACCCAACTTTGTCCGCAATTTAATGCAAAATGCTTTTATTTAAAAATTTATTTTTTCTCTAATGTAAATAAAAAAAAAACAACAATAGATGCAATAATACATTTCCTTCGATTTAAAAAAATTCTATATTATAATTACAAAAATATGCATGCATATAATCAAATACACGATAATTTTCGAATTACATAATATTATAGAGGGTTAATACGAGTAAGGAAAAAATCATATTAAATTCTAAATATTCTTTTGCACCATACCTGTTTTAGAAGCGTCACAATCGAGGAAGCTGAGGAATATTGTGCGAGCCAGGACGACTGTTGCGTTTTCGTCGAAGTTTCCGCTAAACGAAATTACCACGTGGACGAACTTTTCTATCAGCTTTTCGTCGTAGCCGGCTTGCCGTTAGAAATGGCACCGAATCATCATAGAAAAGTTCCTCTTACTTTTGGCTCACCCACCATGCTACCCCCATCGCAGGTATTTATTTACATACATTTATTAATTAAAAAATCATTCTTTCTCTTAACGTTTTGAAAATTTTGAAATTATTGATAATATTTCATTCATGAAATAATATATTCATAAAAAAATGTTTAAATGAAAATATTTTTCAAATAAAAGTTACTAATTTTATTACATACATTACGTAGACATTTTAATATATTCAAAAATTCTTATTAAAAAGCACAGAGTTGACTTCCAAGCAAAACCATGCAACAAATAAAAAAAATAATATGAGTCATAATATTTCTATCGTGAAATCAGATAAATCTTGTCTGAACAATTTTTCTCAATAATGTCATGTTCTCGAGATGTAAATTTGTAACGTTATACTTTAAACACAGGATATATATATATATATATATATATATATATATTATATTATAATATTGTATCATATCTATCGTATTAAAAATAAATTACTATTTCACACTTAAACAAAAACATATATTGTATATATATTCTAAATAATATTTAATTAAGTAATTATTAATCGTATTGGATTGCGTACTTTTGAAATAAACATGACGTTATGGAGATTTAACGATGTAGAAAGAAATGAGAAATGAGAGTCAATTAAGGAAGTAAAAAATATTTTGTTCGCAGCCAAAGCACAAGGCAACTTTGAGCATAAAGCGTCGATTAAGCGACGCCTGCGGCGTCGTGGCGCCTAACGTGCGACGGCCCAGCATAAGAACGGACCTGATGATCATGCGAACGAAGACGTGCTCGCTCGCGGCAGGAAACGAAAACAACACACCGGGATCGAGAATCATTTTAAGATCTTCCGAAGTCGGCAGAACCTGTTCAATACAGTGATATTCGCGCTAAATTAAATTCCCAAATAACGAATCGATATATTCGTCGAAACGAAATAATAATGGATGAAAGAGAGAGAGAGAGAGAGAGAGAGAGAGAGAGAGAGAGAGAAAGAGAGAGAAAGAGAGAGAGAGAGAGAGAGAGAGAAAGAGATTAAGCTTTTAAATAATGAACAATCCCGCCTAACGAAAGGATATTTGCAAACTATAAATAATAAAAGAAAAAAGAAATCAATAAAAATATAAAAAGGGGAAAAAACCGACCACGCTGCTCGCCTTAATTAATTAATTAAAGCACTAGTGTATTTAACGTAGTGTGTCGAAGGTAATATGCCTGATTAAAATTATAATGAGCACGAGATAAAAAAAAAAATACTAAAAAATAAAAAAAAAAAAACATAAAAGATTAAAGAAAGATAGAAACGAACAAAAATAATATAAAAAGGGGAAAAAAAGAAAGATAGGAATAAACGGAATATTCCATCGTCTCCTTTGACGCGAAAAAAGGTAGATAATCTGAAGGAAAGCGTTTGAGAAAGTAAGTAAGTTAGTAAGTACATTTTCTCTCGCGAGAGAAAGAACAAGAAAAAGAGTCCCTTTGTAATTCGAAGATATTTAAGAGCACACTTTATATTATTTTAATTAAATCACGATCTTCGAATAAAACGGATAAAAGGAGGAGTGAGAAAGAAACACACAAAAATTCGAAAAGTCCAGAGAGATTCTTGTAATTTTTTTTTTCTTTTTAATTTCATTTCGAACAAATAAGAAAGGAAAGGCAACTGAAATTCGTAGAGGATAGGAGATTCTTTTTACTATAGAACGTCAAACCGACGTGAACCAATTACCGTATACGTGTAAATAGATAACGATAATGGATATAATGATACTTAATATTTACATGGTGGATTAACATTCGCGATAAAACCAAGAAAGGGAGAATGAATTTTTGGAAAAGAAACAAAAATCGTCAACTTTCTCAATTGTACTACGATTGCTGAACCACTCTGTATATTAAAAAAAAAAAAAAAAAGGAACAAAAAAATCATACACGAAAATTACACATTACTTACTTACTTACATACTTACATATGTACACCTCGCGCACTGCGTCAAATATTTCGAATACACGTACAAAACACGACTTATAAACAATTTTTCCTAGATAACCCAATCAAACAACGCGCAAATTAAATTGTATAATATTTTAATCGACGTAAGAGAACAAAATTTGCACCATCTTTTTTCGTTCGTCGTTGCTCGCAACAACAATAAAATAAATCAATAATATAATAATAGTTAATAATAATAATTTACTTAATACATATTTACATCGATTACCATAATTTCATTTATCTTCAATTCCAATTGTATAATTTAATTATAAATATTATAAATATTCTTTATTTTTGTGTTAATTTACGATATGATAATTATGTATAAAAAATACTGCATATCATATACAGGCTTCTTAAAAGTAAAAAGCTTTAATACTTGACTAAGTTTGATTAACCCTCGCCCTACGGTCAATCGCCATTAATGTAACACGGTGGCTGTCGAAATTATTAATCATATTTACAACCCTCCTCCTATAATCATAACGTTCATTACTCGAAACTCTAAAATCTGAACACCTCTCTTGCTCAATACGTAAGAATGAGTGACACTTTGTTACAACACCATATGCAAATAATCAATCATCAAAATAAACAAGTCTTCCGAAACCCCATTATAGAAGGGCGAGTGTTAATAAATATGTTTTGTCTTTTGTTAAATACAAAGCCTGACATAAAGTAATCGCAATGGAATGAAGAGAACAAAAGTTTTAATTTATCTACTTAAAATTGATAACTCTTCCATATTCATTTCCTGCATTTGTCACGATAAATTAAAATATACTAACATAAGAGAAATTTGATTAAACGATATGTAATTTCCTATATTAAATATTGAATGTATAAGAAAATTTTATCATCATCTATTACCATTGCTCCATGATTGTTCACTAGCAGATGCAAAAATTAAATAAAAACAATTATTTATCATATTTATTCCAGCTGCCATCCAGAAAACTGTATGCCAACGTGCTAAAGTTTCCTATGAAATCAAAGATAAAAAATAAAATAATGTTGAGACTAAAGACGTACGCTTTTCATACACAATATTAATTCAAAGATACTAAATGTATTACTATAAATAATACTTATATTTGTATAAAAGTATACTCACATGTCCTTGAACTAATCTACCAATGACATATGGTGCCAAAAATCCGCAAACATTAGCCGCTGCATTGGTAAGTCCATAAAGAGTGCCAGCATATCGTGGTGCTAATGCGATGTGATTCATTTGATTTCCAGCATACACTGCACCTTGTAATGAACCTAATCCGACAAGCATTACCATAACAGTCATGCTATCACATCCAGCCCAAATAGCACCTAAAAAGCTAAGACTGGGGCCAACAGAAGCCACTGTATTCCATAATTTGAATGAAGTCAAAGGAGATAAGATTTGTCGAGCAAGAAGAGCATCTGCAAAACTCGATACTAGTAGTCCAACCAACCAAGCACTTAGATATGGTAATGCAGAAAGATATGCATCTTGTTGTACATCAAAATGCAAAATTTTATCCATATATGAAGGAAGCTCTGTTAGCAGTGTATAGAATGCCCAGGATTGACCACATTGTGTTATAGTTATAGCCCACATAGGCAGAGATGTAAAAATTGATAACCAGGGTACATCGGGATCATCAGTCTATTTTCATAAAAATATAAGTGAAATAAGCTAATTAATAACTTCATACAAATACATACAATTAACATTTAACTGACCTCATCTTTTTCTTCAACACTGGCTTCAATGTACGCTCTTTCCTGTGGATCAATTCTTACATGCTGGGCAGGTGTATCATAAATAAAGATCAACCAGAATGCATACCAGATAACACCTAAACCTCCAAACAAATAAAATGCGAGTGGCCAGCCACCCCATAGTTCCAATGAACACAGCCATCCACTTAAAGGTAGTGATATAACTGTTCCAAAATTTGAACCTAAGAAATAAATTAATCGACAAATAAAAAAATATTTGTTTATTAATTAATATCAATGGTTTATAGCATTACCTGCATACACAATTGCTGCAAATTTACTTCTTTCTAATGGTGGAACCCAATGTGCAAGCATAGAGTGCATTGCAGGAAAAGTAACACCCTATATTAAAGAAATATGAAAATAAATAATAATGGAAAATGATAAAGCTTTTATTAGGATTACTTACCTCTGTAAATCCTTCCGCAATTCTCACTACAAGAAATGGTATTAAACCCCAATATGCTGCAAAAGGACTAATTACAGTCAATACAGCAGTCAAAAAAACTCCTAATCCATATATTAACTTCCCACCAACTTTTTCAGCCATTCTACCTCCTGGTACATTTGTTGTTACATAGCCAAGAAAAAACGCTCCTAATATAACGCCTTGAGTTTTTTCATCCCAATTGAATTCTCCTGCACTCTGCCATAATGATATTAAAAATGAGTTTGATACAACGCAAAATATATCAAGCATTTTTCTACAAAACTATGATATAAAGAGAAACAACTAATGGAAGTGACTAACATATTAGTGATATGAGTTAAAAGTGATAACAAGAAGAAGAATAAAATTGATAATGTTATCCACAGAACATGTAACTGGATCATCTTGACTAACCATTCACTTGTGATTTCTTGTTAATTTAATTGAATTAAAGAATAAATATTTTTGATATATGAAGTATTAAAATAATCAAACAAAAACAAATAATTAGTATATTCAAAAGATAATAAAATCAATAGTATTAGATAAAAAGATTGAACGTACTGGTATAAACGTTCCATTTATAGGATTCACATTACGACAGATATCAGTATCATTATCATCATCTGTATTAGGTATAGCTGTCTGATTGACCATTGAAACAATAGCGACAGATAAATTCACTCTCATTGCATATACAAGAGCAAAGCCTAAAAAACCTAGGAAACCTAGGGTATAGCGTGCTTTTATGCATGATTTAGTATCAGATGGGCTCTGTTCTATGTCATCTGAAACAAATATTATTGTGAAATAAATTATGAATCACTTATATTAGTAAGTTATCATAAAACCAATAAATGTATTTTAAAATATAAATACAAACAAATATTTCTGACATCTTACATTAATTCATCATAAGAATGCAATCTTACATGAATGTTTAGATGCAAAAATTCGAAATTAATTAAAATATCATCTTATTTCTATAGTTTTAAAGTTTCTGCGATTAGACAATAAATTATGAGACATTGTTGAGCATAAATACACACTTCCGTTAGGTCCAAATAGTAAAATACAGTATTTATATGACATTAGGTAGTTCTAGATGCAGAACAAAGGTAATATACATATAAACAAAAGATCGTATGATATTGTAAACAAACCTTTCTCTAAATAATCGATGCAAAGTGGTAGTTCATCTCTCGAAACAGTTGGATCAAGAACTTCCATATTACAATTAAAAACAAATATTACAATATTGTCAAACTTTGACGATGACTCACTGCCACTGCAATGATCACATTAACGTAATCGTTTGCTTTGTCCTCTTAATCGTAACTAGCTACGTAGAACTGTCATTTCTCGCATGAGTAAACTTGAATCTACCGAGTTTACCACACATTCAAAAGTACACTGCTTACTGTGTGTTATCGTTAAGGTGTTACTACTATACAAAAGTTATGAGTCGGTTAATACAATTCCCCGTCTCAACAATTGATAAAACAGATCACTAATAAACTCATTATTATTTTGAAATAATTGTTTACTTTTATAATAATAATCTTTAAAGTCTTGTTTCTAACAAACATCTCTTTTATGATTAAATCTTTCATTTGATAATTCGATATTATCATATTTCATCAATTTGAAAATTTAATTTATCGAAGAAGTAACGTGTTCTATTTACCGACACTTTAGATTATTATTGACTGCCGTTAGCGCTGATCTTAATTTACAGAGGAAAGTAAGATTTTCAAGACCGCGTTATCTTATTCTATTTTAGTCTTTTCCTTATAATAAAATAAGATAAAGAAAAATATTTATCAATAATTAAATAAGTAGTAGATAAGAACCTACAGAATTGAAAAGTTACATAGTAGATAAATATTTGTATATCAAAAAATATAATTAGTAAGAAAGTAATTGTATTATAATATTAATAAAATATATAATAACGTACTCGCATAAATATGTAATAATATATTTAGTTTTGTTGTCATGTTCATTATCTGCTTCCAGATTTCGTCATTAACAAAAGTTAATTATAATTCTCAATTTAAAGTTTTTAAATTGTAAAGATTCCCTTTAAATGTTCTAACCTTACCTAACTTCGCATGTTGCAAGTAGTGCAAATATCTGTGATGTGTGTCATAATATTTACATGTTAATGAAAAAAGAATATGTGCCGAATGAATAATTTATTTCCTGGATTTTTGTATATCATTAACAATGAACAACTTTGACCTGGGTTTTATTTGGAAAATGGGATGTCTTTGCGCCAAGGAAACTATTACTGTAAATACGAAAAAGTATACGGTTCGGGAACATCTGGGAGAAGGGTAAATTAGACTACTTTGATCTTTAACTATTGATTAAATTTAAGTCTTTTTTTGTATGTGATTTGTATAATAACTTCATAAATATTACTTATAATTTTTATAATGTTTTCTTTTGTTTATATATATATATGAAAATTATATATAACCTCAAAATAAGACAATGGTTTTGTTTCTACATTAAAACAAAAATAAAAATGTTATTATAATAAAATGTGTATTTCAATTACAGTGGATTTAGTACAGTACTTTTAGTAGAAGATAATATAACACATAGAAAATATGCGATTAAAAAAATTGTTTGTCATGGATCAGAAGACCAACGTTTAGCAATGAAAGAAATAGAATATCATCATCTCGTAAAACATCCAAATGTTATAGAATGTATTGATTCTACACACAGGGGAACAGCAGATCCTGTTGTCAATTCAACTAGTGAAGTACTACTTGTATTACCTTATTATTATGTAAGTTTATATTATTTATTAAAAAAATATTATTTTATACATATTTTTATCACACATACATTAATCATTATTTCTTTAATTGCATTTACAGAGAGGTACATTAGCACATGAATTAGAAAGACGAGCTAAAAATAATGATTATATGAATCCCATAGATATTTTAATTACCTTTTTACAAATATGTGAGGGTGTACAAGCTTTCCATGAGGCGAAGCCAGATCCTCTTGCGCATAGAGATCTGAAGACTGCAAATATAGTTTTAAATGATCAAAATATGCCTATTATAATGGATTTAGGTACTACAAAGTAAAATATATAACAAAAATTGAGAACGAAACTATCATATAATGTTAAATAATGAAATAATATTTTAGGATCTGTAGCACCGGCGAGGGTTAAAGTTTGTGGTAATCAAGAAGCTCAAACATTGCAAGATATAGCAGCGGAAAGATGTTCGATGCCATATAGAGCACCAGAGCTATTTAATGTTGAAAGCTACTGTATGATTGATGAACGAACAGATATTTGGGTAATGTTTATATAGCTAGTTAGATAATTAACTTACTTATTATAAAAAAGTAAGTAAACTTTCATCATTATTTATTTTAGTCCCTAGGATGTATTCTATATGCCTTATGCTATTTCAAATCTCCATTTGACAATGTTTATGAAAGAGGAGATAGCGTGGCACTCGCTGTTATAAGTGCAAATATTACATTTCCGGAAGAAGCACCCTATAATGAAGTATGTGTGTGAACATTTTTATTTATCGTATAATAATTTAACAGATTTCATAATAGTGTTAAATTTTACTTTTTAGGATATGCAAAATTTAATTCTCTCTATTTTAAAAGTTAATCCAATGCAGCGGCCTTATATATATACTGTAATAGAAAATGTACACGATACTATAACAAAATTCGAAGATAGAGTGTAATTTTATAATGATTGACAGATTAGAAATAATTCTGCTTTAGATAAATGCAGAAACGTACATGTTTTTGTTATAAAATTCAAAAAATTTTTAATGATGAACAATGTGAATAGAACACAGTGATAGATTTTTATATACTAAACGGAATATAATATAATTTTTTCGTAAATAATTAATCAATATATTCATGGATAGATTATGCTACAATTATCTTCAATGAGAAGAATTTTAAAAATTAAAACGTCCAGAATATATAAATATGCATTTATAATGCTTTTATAAAACTGTTAAATAACGAACAAATGACTTTCATATTACATTTTTACAAGTGATCAGAGACTATAATTATATAGAAACTATTTAAGAAATTATCTCTATCTGTTATCACTATATGATTAAATATTATTATAAAGGTGGTATTATTTTAAAAGAAATAGTAATTAGAAAAAAATAATATAAATCATATATTATTTCTTTAGTTTATTATTATAAGAAAAAAATAGATATTTATGAATATATACATTATTATTCAATGTAATTTCGCAATAAATATATATATTCTGTTTTTATTATATATGTAATTAGAAAAAATTAACTTTTTTTTAAGTTCAAGTGCTTTAATATATGACACATTAAAAATAATTACGTAATTATGTCTTATTTTCTGTATATATTGCCTTCTTTTATAAAGATTTAAAAAATTTAATTTCTAAGTAAACATAAGTGTATCAATGCCGTTAACAATTTTTTACGATCCACTTTTTCGATTGGATACGCTTGATATCGATTCCGGTTGTCCGATCAATAAGAAGGATCATACGATATGACGTTGTCATGACATACATAGCTGCGTCATTATGATTTAAGTGTTACCAATCGAATTAGAAACGTATAAAAAAAAATCTTATTCATATATATTTTCTATGATTAATAATATTTAATAAAAATATATATAGTAATATTCATTCATCTAATAACATTGTTGTTGAAATGATTCGAAGAATTTTAAGTCAAACTAGATTTTCGAGGTCACGCGTACACGAAATGGCGTGAAGTTTACTCGAATGTCGGCGTTGTGGCAGCGTTGTCGTAGATAGAAAGAGATAGATAAAGAAAGAAAGAAAGAGAAGGAAGAAACAGTTTAAAATAATTTTTTTTGAAGTAAGCACTCTCCTCGAAGAAAGAACGTATTTTCTGGCTGTCTCTCGCGTTGAAGAGTTCTATTTAATATCTACTGCATGTTCATACTCATCGATATTAATTGCAACCTGTAAGTAATATCATTTAATTCTTTTTCTATTATCCATCAAAACGTTTCCTAACCCTATTTATAAAATCAATGAATCGGTTTGGATTATATTATTAATCAAAATAATAAACCAATATTATTCATTGTTTCGTGTCTTTTATGCGATTCATGTGTATTCTGATTATTATACTAATTATTTGACTATTTTACGAGATTTTATTTACAACATACGATTATTCAAGTACAATTAACCTCTATTTGAAGTGCGGTATGTTAGCTAAACATTCAATGTTTAATTATTTTAATTTAAACCTTTCAATATCATAGTTGATGAACACAGGAAAATTAGGAAAGTAATTAAAAATAAGGTTTTGTTCGAACAAGGTTTGAATGTATTAACGAGATATTGACAGTTGACATGTCATATTATTTGATCAAGACATTTTTATATTCTTTTGCGTAAATTTAAATAAATAAATAAAAAATATTAATTGTGCTCGTAGATATAATTCCTGTATGTACAATTGAGTATAGTATAATCTTGCAAGTAAAATATGGAGTATAATCAGGTATTGTTTAATACTAAAGTCATAGTACAGTACTTATTCTATTACTATTTTTAACAACATATAAAAGTTATCAGATATTGTGAAACTTGTAGTTTACTCTAATGAAAATGGGAACAATATTTCTTATCTGATAATTGGTATAAATTTTTTAGTTTCATATGCCATATTTACTTCCTTATTACTATATGTACTTCTAAATTGATTTAAATTTATTATTAGAAAACAAATTGGAAAGATTAAATTCAATAAAAGTTAACAGTAGACATAATTAGATAATATAGTAATTATGAGAGTGAATCAAGTAAAACACACACAAATCGGAAAAAAACTATAATAAATAAAACTATTATAATATAAAATAAATCGTAAAATAAAATTTTTCCATTTTTTTACTTAGTCCAATATCATAATTATTACCGGCATAATTAATTAAGATACAATATTTTTATATGAAGTATTCTTTCTTAAAGACAATTTGTAATCATAGTTTTAAGTATAAGAATAAATTAATTAAATTATATATATCTCAGAGTGTCCTTTCTTTTATGTTTTCTTTCGTTTTTCTTCGACACGGATAAATAAATTAAACATATATAATTCAGCATCCTGTTAACGTGTGTATCTATTTATGATCTCAAAATTATATACGTATATTAGTACCTAATCGAATTGTAGTTAAATGTTTGAGAAAATAAGTCAATATTACTACTGATCATGACATTGCAAATGCTAATACTTTGTATAATTTTTTTTCTTTTACGCTTTCAAATTCCTGAATTATGAATAAGATGTTGTAAATAAGTACATACAGTTTTTTCTTACGTTATTTACTTATATCGGAAACAATTGTATGTACTAATCGTATAGTTTTAAATTGAAATATTTCGAAAAAAAGGCATTTCTAAGGACCTTCGAAATATTATAAATGGAATATTATTTTATCATCGATAAATTATGTTTTATATAATTTATATTCTTCTTTGATTTAAAATTTTTTTTGTGGAAATTCAAATTTAATCTTCAAATGTTATTAACAAATTTTATAAACCGTTGATGTAATTATACAGTATCAATTTTTTTGAATGAAATAAAAGTTAAGTCTCTTTACTTTTTTGGCACTGCTCCATGGAAAACTTAAATCATTGCGTTATTTTTGATTTAGAATTTCGCACAATGTTTAAAATCAATTGAATTTACTCTTGATTACAAAACCAAAGGTACGTGGAACAAATTTGAAATAAATATCCTAGCGAAAAAAAAGAGATTATGTAGCACTAGTTTTGATCATTATAAATGATCCTATTTTGTATGAGCATGACACTTTTTATCAGAAATAATTTTATTTATGAGTAAATAATATTGTTTTGCATCGAGACAAGTTAAAATATGCTAGTACTCTTTCCCGAATATCTTATCTTTATACTTATTACTACAATCTACTTGACATATTTTTCACTGACATCTTCACATTTATTATTTTGGAGAGATCAAGGCCTTGCTTAAATATATCGTTGAACTAGACAATAAAACTGATGCTTCAGTTATCAAGATATATCTTTCAAACGTGTCGATAATTATGACAGTGAACTAACATAAGTCAAAAAATAATAAAAATTAATTTTATGATTTATTTTCTATTACAATTAGTTATATCATCAAATAAGTCATATAATGAATCTTTTCTATTTTTTGACTTATATTAGTACACAATTATCGATATGTATAATATATGTATACGCTACTGGATTAAAATTATTTTACGATCTTATTAATATTTATATAGGGAGTCAATGTTTGTTCAACAAAATTCATAATTATGTTAAATCTGAATTTCTCATCCATCAATAAGATTTTATTTTTGCAAAAAGTATTTTCAATATATTGATTATATATTTTTCTGATCGCGTTTATAATTCAATCTTAATTATTTCTTAAATCAAATTACTTTCACAAGATTGCAGAATTTGTTACTTAGAATGCCAAGAGAGTATATAAGGCCAGTACTGAAAGCAAAAGATAGCTATTTTGATAAGGCTAATTAAAATAAAATTTAAATATTTTATAATCACTCTATAAATTTTTTCCCCATTCCGTAGTAAAGTTTCTAATGAAATCGATTTATTTTGACAACGAAAATAAAAGTCTGGCCATTTTTTCTTTTATTTATTCTGAATATTTTTAAATTTTAGTACTTGATAAAATAATCTTAACCTATAGTTCATATCTTAAGTCTTACAATTAGAATGTTAAACTAGACACTATTTTCAAATGAGTTGTAGTAGTGTGGAAGAGAAGTACTATGATAAAACAGTACTTCTATAGTATATAATTAAATACAATATTTAAATACGTAACTATAACGTGTATATTCGAATTCGTATAAATATTTTTCCTATAAGTCTTTTTTTTTTTATTTACTCCATACATCTTTACAATTTATCCATAGACATTTGGTAAATTGTTATATAAGTGAAAAAAGATAGCACATGGACGGTTTCTCCAATGAGATAGCGTCGCTCATGTCATTTATTTCGGTTAAGTTTAATTTTTACGAGGTCCCCTAGGTGGATTCTTTTGGGCCTTCTAGGGATTATATAAGTTTAAAATAGTTTTAAAATGAGGTCCGATTACAGCTAACATTTACATATATATATGTCATCATACGAGTGAATGATTACATTTTTTTATAGTATAATTGACATATATTTATACACCTTTTCCGCGAAGGTCGTTATATATATGAGAGGAATTAATATTTTAATATTAATTAATCGTAGTACAGATATACATATAATAGTAAGTTTGTTCATCGAATATTTTCAACTTTAAAATCTTGTTTATCAATTATTTTGTATATTCGAAGCTTTTAAATGAAAGTTTCATACCTTATAAATAATATAACGGTGAAAAATTTCCCATGACTGTAAAATATTTAATGTAATTATCAAGCAATTGCCATTGAAAATGATACTTTCTAGTTTTTTATATTAATATGTAATTCAAACACTTTTTGTATCTGCATTTGAATATTCGCATAAAATATGAGAAAATAAATGAAACGTTCAAACACTACAAATAATGGTTCTTATTGTACAATAACAGACTGTAATACGAAATTCAAAAATCTAATTATTTTCTTCAAGAAAACGGATTTTTTTGTTTTATTTTTTTTTATAGCACAATCATTTCGATATCCATTACGATAATATTATTACATAAAAATTATTTATTCTTAATTTTAAAGAAAACATTTATTCTTCGTACTTATATTTCTTCATTTCATTTCATATATAATTTTAATGCAAAAAAATGTAAATGACTTTTTTCTTCCCCTCTTTAAACAAGAATATTAATCAAACTTAGAAGGGCTTCATTTATTACGTGAAGTTAACATGCGTTTGTGAATCAAAATATCACATTAAAGTCATGAAACAGTCACACGTTTATTAATGACAATGAGTAACCGTGACCTTATGCTATTTCTTGTATTCATTTCTCTCTCTCCCTCTCTCTCTCCCTCCCTACCTCCTATTC